AAATTTCAAAATTGTTTTCTTATTTTTGTAATGGTATGTAGGGTAAATCTGATATTTGAATTTTTCCCAAATAAAAACCCATCAAACCCATATAAATTCGTTTTCCATGAAAATAAAGAAAATACAACTTAGGTGGTTGTACCTTGGTATTCAGTTTTCATTTCCACGTTACAATCAAACAATCAAAATCAAATTTATTTTCCTCGAATATTACATTTTTCATGGATTCGTTACAATCAAACATGACATTAGAATCAAATTTAGGAGTATTTTGTCGTATCATTTACTTTCATTAATCATCCATTGTACTTTAAAGTACAATTTTCATATAAAAATCTCACTTGAAGTTGAACAATTATGCTATGTACATTACTTTTTACATTATGTCACGTAATAACACATTATTGGACAATTTACAAAAATAAACAAATTTTTCTACAATCAAATCATGCAACTTTGATGCGGTAAAAAATGTACAGTTTTAATGTACAAATGGCGTAACTCGAAGTTGAAACCTCCTCATCCTCTCGAATTTATATACAAAAATAAAATCGTTTGTCCTATTTAATTAAATAACGCTTGTTTTTTGAACCTACGAAATGCTATGCCCATAAATTATAGCAAAAAAGATTAGAAATGTGATTAAAAATTAATGAATTAAAACAAGTAGTTGAATATTTGTATTTTCCAATAGAAGAGGAAAGATCTTTTATCTGAAGAAAGAATAGTTTGGTACATGTAGAAAAAGTAGACGAAAACGTTGCAAAAGCGAACAAATGAGTGAAAACAAAGGAACATATCACATCAAACAACTTTTTGATGGAGCCCCTCTCTCTCTCTCCTTTGTGTGTGTGTGTGTAAATAGGTGAAAGATGTAAACCCTTTTGATGGAGTAGGGTGGGGTCGAGTGGAGTGGGGTGGGGTCTCACTCAGTGTGTGTGTAAATAGGTGAGAAATGTGAACCCTTTTGATAGGGGTGGGGGTAGCGGAGGTGGGGTTCACAATGAGTGGGAATGAAGAGGTGAAAAATGTAGGATTAAATTATTGTATACGCAGAATGTACATCTTTGTTGACATGTTCTTGCATGTTAAAAATTTGACAATTGATTGAAAAAGATGTGATTAAGATCAATATATAAAAAATTATCAACTTATATAAGTGTACGAAAATGTTCACCTGCCAGCGACGGGCAATCTTATCCTGCCCATTTTTAAATTCGAAGATGGCGAAAATGTGCTCCTGCCCGTGGCGGGCAAGTTTATCCTGCCCACCTATTGATGTGGCAGGAGAACCCTACGTGGGGCGCTCTCCAAATGTGAGAACCCCACGTTGGATTCTTTCCGAGTGGGCAGGATAAACTTGCCCATCGAGGGTAGGAGAACGAGACTCTATAAGTGTAAATCAATGTCTAAATTTTTATGTGAACGGTCAAAAAATGTAAGCTCTTTTGATGGGGGATGGGTCCTCCATTGAGTGCATTCATATTCGGAATTGATGATTAGTATACGTGTGGTGGTGGGTGTGGTGACTATCTTTCGAATGTCACACTCAACCTTTACGAATTGAAGCGACATTCCGTCTTAACCTCTTCGTCTAACTTGCGCATGCAACTTGCACATTTTCACCCTCATAACAAAACATTTTTTATAACAAGACACAGACACTTGGCAACCAGCATACAGACAATTAGCCAATTAGGTGTCTGGTTTGAGTTCAGATTTGTAGTTTTTTTCTCTGTAAAAAATTCTCTATCGAAGTATTTCCAAAGAAAGTAATGTATTTCCAGATAATTGTTCAAAATGATATATTGATGACATATTCAAAAAATTTTAAATATCAATAAATCATTTTGAAAGTAATGTCACTTGTATTATACTGTATCGATATATTTTCATTTGCTTTATGTCAAAAATTTAGCTCAAATTCGATCCTCAATTTTTAAAATTTTAATTTTCTCCAAATTTATTTTTAGCTGCATATTTTATCAATAAAGTAATTTTACAAGTAAACTATATATTTTTTTAATCACATTCACCAAAAGTCATTATTACAAAACACCCTTGAATTCTGATTGGTAGGGATTAAAATCTATATTTTAATATAAGTCAAAGTAGTAAATAATTTTAACAACAAATTTTATGAGATTCACAACATTTCAACAAAATATTTCATCAACCTTAATCTACCTTGAAGGGGCTTAATATAAAAACAGCTAAACGAAAACAATGTTGTACAGGATTCCACTTTCCAGTAACCGTCTCTATGTTTACACACCAAAATTAGATCATAACACAAGATAGTGACTTGAAAGCCCCTTTGCTACCCTACTTCAAGTAAGTGGACATAGCATCTCTCTCCACCCCCACTCCTACCCCTAGCTATGTCGACACCCTGCTATGTGTGAGAGAGAGGGGAGATTATGCTAAAATCTCAAATTTGTACAGAATCTATACTCGCCGCATTCATTGTTCTCTCCAAATACCTTGGACCCCACGAATAAGTCGCACACTGAAAATCCACCACCATCAATGGTGTAGTTTGCAACTAATAGCAGTTCAATCCACCAACAATTAACCCCGTACCCCTATGCCTATCCCTACTCCCTATCCCCACCCAACTCACCACCACACCACTATCCCACCTTTCCTCAATAAATAATTGAAAAGCCAAATCATTCAAAAGCTCCTTCTCAACCTCTGACGACGATAATGTTAAAAGAATATGGTCACTGTAATAAGCTATCATAATCTTGGTCCGTACACTGCTGTTATACATTATTGGTAGGTTAGTTGTTTAATTATCTCCCTTTTGACGTTTCACACTATCATTATCCTTGCAGTCCAAGATTTTCCGGCATGCCGACGCCGGTTAGTGCAGCCAGGGCATGCTTAACACAGGAGGCGGTGGCCACTCTAGACGAGGCCGTGGCAGTGGCGCGACGCCGGGGGCACGCGCAGACGACGTCGTTGCACATGGTGTCCTCACTCCTGTCCATCCCCAATTCATCTTTACGTGAAGCATGCACCCGCACCCGCAACAACGCATACTCCACTCGCGTGCAGCTTAAGGCTCTTGACCTTTCGCTGAGCGTTTCTTTGGACCGCCTGCCCTCTTCACGAGCGAACAAAGTAGATGAACCACCAGTGTCGAATTCTCTCATGGCAGCGATAAAAAGATCGCAAGCGAATCAAAGAAGGCAGCCTGAAAACTTCAGCTTCTATCAGCAGCAGTATTCATCGTGTTCTTCTGTTCCGGTGGTGAAAGTTGAGCTACGGAACTTGATTATATCAATTCTTGATGACCCTTTGGTGAGTAGAGTTTTCGGTGAGGCGGGGTTTCGGAGTTGTGATATAAAGATAGCTACACTTAGGCCAGTAAACAATTTTCATGGCCACCATCTGTTTGGTTATTCTTCTAGGTACAAACGGCCACAACCACCTTTATTTTTGTGTAATTTCAACGCTAGTGACAGTACTAATGAGATAAGTATGAGTAGTAAAGGTTTCAGCTTTCCTTTTATGGGCGGTTATCCTGGGGAAGAGAATTCAAGGAGAATTGGGGAGATCATGGTCAGGGATAAGAAAAAGAATCCGCTGCTATTGGGGGTTTCAGCTAGTGATGCTTTAAGGTGTTTCTTGGAAACTGTGCAAAAAAAGGTTGAAGGTGTTTTACCTGGGAGATTAGTTCAATTGAATGCGATTTGTGTTGAAGATGAGGTATTGAGGTTTGTGAATGGGGATTCTAATGAAGAACTAATGAAATTGAGGTTCGAGGAGGTCGAAAAAATGGTGCAGAATAGTGTAGGAAGTGGGGTGGTGGTAAATTTTGGTGATTTGAAGGCATTTGCTAAAGAGGGTGTTTGTGTTGATGCTTTAAGGTATGTGGTGGGTGAAGTGGGGAGACTGCTACAGATTCATGCAGGGAAATTGTGGTTAATTGGAGCAGCAACAACATATGAGATTTACTACAAGTTTTTGAACAAATATCCCTCCATTGAGAAGGATTGGGACTTAGAAATTTTGCCTATTACTTCACTTGGATTTTCTACTGAAGGGTCATTCCCAAGATCCAGGTAACTTTCAATTATGCAGTTATTGTTTTAGGCTATAGTTATCAACGTTTATCATTGTTTTAAATGTTATTTTTCATTTCGTTGTATGGGGCTGTAGTTTGTGTTAGGATACACTCCTCCATTATGTGTACCTAAGAATTGTGACGAGCTTGGTATTTAGCTAATTCTTGCTTTCTGATTGTGTATATTACTTATTTCTAATTCAAGATGGCAATATTTGTCTTTATACATGGAAGAAAATCATTGGCCGTATAAAGATTACAAATTTTTGTGTCCATTCTATATATGAGATTAGCTGTTTCTTTGAATGTGTTTTGTGACTTAAGTGGTACATGTATTTGGTGAATTCTTGGCTCGAATTGGCAAATCACTCGAACTTTGATTAGTTGATTTGTGGATGTTGAAATTGATTTTTGTTACCTTTAAATCACCGTATCCTCTTCCCCGGGTAGATCAAAAGTCCTTTTTGAACTGAATTTGGTGTCTTTCAAATGGTTGAAACTTGCATGTTCTCGGAGATTGGCTGATTGTGGGCGTTTGTCTATGGTGTGTCACAGATGTTCATAGATCAATATATACAGGTTAGTCTGCTGTTTGGCCAATGATTTATTATGATAATCAAAATTTAATCTAAATATCTTGAAAAGAATCTTTGCTCTTTGTGGTTGATCATGTTTCAAATAGTCCCCACTTCGACGAACAGATGGTTGAAAAATTCTAGTTAATATGCAACTATTTTCCCCAGTTGTCAAACTTAATAATAGTTTCGCCTTAAACTTGATCAGACTAATTTTCCTTGCTTTGTGTAGAAACTTATCAGGCTGCTGACTAAATTAATCTTGACTGCTCGATGTTGTTAACTAGTGTTTCATATGCCTTCCTCACATCCTTTTATTTTGTTTTTGCTGCACTTTGCCTGTCTTGACACAAAATGATTAACTAATGTTAAGTTAATTATTGTTCCTTTTTTTTTTTCAGATATCATTTTCAAAATTGTTGATTTTAGACACTATGTTTCATGCTACACATTTTAGACACTCAATTTTTATGGATTCTTTGCCACTAGAAACACTTTAAATTTGTTAAAATATTCAGAGTCACCATGCATTAACATCAGGAAGATGGTAACTTTGCTCACTTCGGTTACCAGTTTGCATAATGTTTAAATTTCATTTATATCTCTAATCCAATTTTGTGTTATATATTCGACAATCTTCTGATTTTTTTTTTTTGTGTACATGGGGATGCCAAGCCTTGTTACCTTCCTCTGTTCATTTGACTTCCAATCATGGTATGTTTATTGGATTTGATAGTTGTATGATAATGTTAATATTGCAGCTTGATGGAGTCTTTTGTTCCATTGGGTGGGTTCTTTTCTACACCATCTGATATGAAAAGCCCATTGAGCAGCTCATACCTCAATGTAGTCCGCTGTCATCTGTGCAACGAGAAGTGTGAACAAGAAGTGACTGCACTTTCAAATGGAGTATTTACTGATTTGTCTGCGGAGAAAAATCAATCTAGTTTTCCTTCTTGGATGCAGATGACAGAACACAGCGCACTCAATGGTGTAGCTCCGTTGAAGGTGTGTCACTTCGAAAATATTTTTGAGCTTTATATCCAATATTGACAAATATCAGTGACTTTTTGGTTATCCCTGATCACTGGGGTGGGCTCATGCTGCTAAAAGAACGCATTGTGAAATTCACAGAGTGAGAAAAATAAAAAAGAAATTAAATTTTGTATGTTTTGTGGATGCTGTTTCGCATCCTCACAATTATGTGTGTGTGCGTGTTTCCTTTATTTTTATATGGAAAAAATTAAGTTTACAAGTGCTAACAATTATTTTTGACACCAACGAATCCTTTCTTAAGAAGCCAAGTACTATTCAGCATCGTGGATTAAGTTCACTTTCACGATCAAAATATCTGCGATATGTTTTCAATATGTCTTAGTCATTGAGTAGTGAGATTTCATTGTTTTGTTTATGTAAATAAGTGGCTGTTTTCTTCAGTGCAGGTCAAAGATGATGGAATGTTACTAAGTGCGAAAATTGCCGGGGTGCAGAGGAAATGGGATGGTATCTGTCAGAGCCATCACTATAATCAACCTATCCCCAAAATAAACAGCCACCAATTGGGTTTCCAATTTCCATGTGTTCCGGCTACTCAAGTTGCCGAGGAAAGGAAAGAGAATGCCAGTAATGACAGCAGCAACCATACTTATGCATCATCAACCGAATGTGGAAGCAAGAATAGAGTTTCTTTCTCGTCGACAGATTTAGTACAGAGTTCTTCACTGAAAGCGTATAGTCCATTGGATGTGCTTCCAAAGGCCAAGAATCTGAATATTTTGTCTGGATCTGGTGAAAAGCCTTCGGCATTGGAAGATGAGTCATCTGGCCTCAAAAGGCCTTTAAAGTCTTCAAGTGCCAGCATCAATAATGGTCACACATCTCCCACTTCAATAACCTCAGTGACTCGAGATTTGAGTCTGCATATGCCTCCTCCTTCTACAGGCAGAGAACCAGAGAAACTGGTGGATCAATGTCTTGTGGATTGTATTCAAGAATTTTCAGGCAGCTTGTCAACAGATAATCATAGCGATTTTAATCCGAAAGATCCCAAGATGCTTTACAAAGCTCTAATTGAAAGAGTTGGTCAGCGAGAAGAAGCTGTTCAGTTGGTTGTTGAAACAATAGCTCAACGTCAAACAAAAAATTCAAGCTGTCGTGGAGACTTGTGGTTTAATTTCCAAGGACCCGATAGGCTGGGTAAGAAAAGACTTGCTGTGGCTCTATGTGAAATATTATATGGAAGCATAGAAAGTCTTATTTGTGTGGATCTAAGTTTCCAGGATGCGACAACCCATACAGACACACTATTCAATCTCCATGGAATGAATACGTATGATGTAAAAATCCGAGGGAAAACCGTCATTGATTATGTAGCAGAAAATCTCAGCAAGAAACCATCTGTTGTCTTCCTTGAAAATATTGAAAAGGCTGATCCGGTCATCCAAAATAGATTGTCTCATGCTGTTAATACTGGTAGATTCTCAGACTTGCAAGGAAGGGAAGTAAATGTAAGAAATTCCATCTTTCTGACAACTACAACGTTCATGGAAGGTGGCCAAAGCTTATCCAGTGGCCAGGAGACAACTAAATACTCGGAGGGAAATATATTGAGAGCAAAGGGTTGGCCAATTCAGATGTTGATAGGAATTGATCTCAATAATGATCTCACGTGCCAAAATGCAAGTCATTTAGATGGCACAGATAAAGGGTTCTCTAACCCGATTTTTATGAGCAAAAGAAAGCTTATTGGTACCGATGGAAGAACCAGCCCATGGGGAGACTTGGAGATGACAAAACGAGCTCACAAGGCATCAAACTCCTTTCTGGACTTGAACCTTCCAGCTGAAGGAAGTGAAATATCGGACACTTTCCCTGCAGAATCTGATTGTTGTTCCATCTCCGAAAACTCCAGGTCATGGCTCGAGGACTTCATTCAACAAATTGATAAAATGGTAGTCTTCAAACCTTATGATTTTGATGGACTTGCTGATAAAATACTCAAGGATATGAAAGAGTGTTTGTTCAAAGTTGTTGGCACAGACTGTTTGTTAGAGACAGAACCAGAGGTAATCGAGCAACTTCTTGCAGCCACATATCTAAAAGGCTGTGGGAAAGTGGAGGATTGGATACAAAACGTTCTTAAGCAGGGATTCATAGATGCTCGTAAGAAGTTCAGTCATAATGCTTGTTTTCTTGTGAAACTTGTCTCCTGCAAAGGCATTGCACAGGAAGAAACACCACAAGTTCTCCTTCCTGCTAGAATTATAACGAACTAATTTCTCATATAAATCGATCCTGTAATTACATGTATAACGTAATGTGTTTAGCAACTAAGTAGGTCTTCATGGCCTGTTGATCACATACGTTATGGAGTTTTTTTGCAGGCTTGTACCTTGTAAAATTTAAGCGTTTCCAGTAAAATAGAATAGTATGAAGCAACATTTATTTGCTTTCCGATGTGAAATAGAAGCGCGTTTAAATAGGGTATGCACATTTTTTTATCCTTGCATAAGAAAACTGTTGGGAAAAAGTCTCACCAGACAGTATCAAATTCAAAAAACTAAAAATAAAAAAGTGAGAAAGAGAATAATAAAAATTTAATGTGGTTCAACTAATGTTGGGCAAATCATATCTGTCAATCGCTCAAGCCTGTGTGACGCTCAAAATCTGGGCGAATATAGTGTTTTGGTTACTGTTCGAATCAACGGTTATTAAAGCAGTGAATGGGTAATCTTATCACATTCCATGATCCAAGAATCTCGGTTGCAAGAAGTTAAGAGATGGGTTAATGGCAACGGTTGAAAACGGTAGTTTCATGACAAGTTATCCGGGCTGGAGAAGGTGGGTGGTTACAGGACGATGGGCAGTTTCCAGGAGTTTTCAAACGATTTTACAAGAGAAACTGTCAAATGAGTATAAAAGAGAAAGAAGAATCTACAAAATAAAAAAGATCAAACCAACTCTCAAACAAAGAATTGTGTAATTTCATTTCTTAGTTAACTTTCAATTATTTTCTTCTAGAATTCGTGTGTTTGCGCCCCTTGGAGGCATTTCATTTCGTTCATATTGTAATCTTCATCAATAAAACATCCCTCGTTGGGCCTTTATCTCGAGAGGTTGTTGTTCCTTACACAATGGTCTGATCCATCTCTTAATTGTTAGCGATTTCCACGTGAAACTGTTAGAGATCAAAATTAAATGATCATAGATCTATATCACATGTCTTTGTGCACTACTAATAGGTCCCAATTCAAATGTTACAGGTCACATGTAATATAGTTCGCGCGTCACATGTCATATTGTATAGGTAACAAATCAATGTACACAAGCCCCATATCTAAGATAGCTAGTCATATGTCATAGTGCATAGGCCAGGTCGTAAATTCAAGAAAACTGGTCACAGGCCAATGATTTCTCCGACTTCAATTGTTATCGTTGCCTTCAAAACTTTTAATACATAGTGTCGACAACTTCCAATTCTTGACCTTAATTGTAAGTTAATTTTTCTAATGAACTTTACTGGCAAGCTTTTCAGAAGGTTCTTATCCAGTTTGAGATTTTACTCTGAAATCATATTTTGTGTTATTTACTTTTTATTGCCTTTGCTCTGAATGTTGTGATTGTTTAATCATAAAAATTAATTGAATTAATTACCTTAATCATCTAGCGACTTGTTGCTTTTAATTGATTTAATTCGGTATTTGAGTCTAAACTATTTGGTAAATTTGAGCTTACAAGTGATATTAGAGCTTTATTTTTTTAGTAGAATGAGGGCAGTACCTCCGAGATTTTATTAATATGTCCTCCCTTGTGGTGGAGGAATACCGTGGTTACAAATGATATAAATAACATAAATAAATGAGGAAGTACTACTTCCCTTACAGTAATAGGAAAGTAGAAAAAAAAAAAAAAAGAGTATTACTCTCCTACAAAAAGCACGAGTGTAAGTAAAAATAAAGGTAAAAGCAAAATACAAATATTTAAACTCTAATACTGGGCAAACCATATCTGTCAATCTAAACAAGCGTCCTAATATATTGTGGTAGGTCAGCTGGTCCATATTCCTGATATCTACGATGATGGTAACCCTCAGTAGCAAGTGCATCTGCAACTTGGTTTCCCTTTCTGAAAATGTGGGAAACCATATATCTGTCAAAGGAAACGATCTCTGCAATTTGTCTGAGTATTACCTGGATAGGCCAAGGTCTGCCACCTTTGGTGACGCAGTGAATGGCTACAGTTGAGTCTACCTCAACCCAAATATCTGACAAACCAAGATCTCTAGCTAGTAGTATCCTATCATGAATAGCCATGAGTTCCGCCTCTAATATCATACACTGTCCATATGAAGCTGAGAAAGCCCTGATACAATTACTTGAGTAGTCATTGATAATGCNATATGATTCTAAATCTACAAGCGATTACATTTTTAACGCTGGAGGCGGAGTCGTGTCCTGAAAATTCTCAAAGTAAACTTGTACAGCTCGATCTACAATGGAATATGAGTTTATAGCTATAGAAAAAGCTAGAGAAAAAACATAATGGCTTCATAACTTTTTAAAGGACATTCCATGTTGGACTATGTCAATGCATGCAATTAGTATACATTGTGATAGCCAATCTGTAATACCTAGACCAGGAAAGCTTAAAAGATTTGATATGTACTATTTATACGAACAAGGTGTACCTTCTTTTTGGAAGTCCATCGTTAGAAACTATATAATTAAGCGTGCTTGGTTTGGAGCAATTCTATGATGGGTGACCCCCTGGGAAGTTTTCTTGGGGAGCATGCGAGTAAGGATAAAGCATGTTGAAAAGACTCTTGTTGGTATAGTGGGAACAGTACATCGTCGATCTAACGGTTGGGACAGCCCGTTAAATGGGACCCGGGTCGTTACATCACCATCGGTGTTGATCTTGACAGATCTAAATGATGGAGTGCGCCACCAAATCATGATAGGGGGAGGAGTTGGGCGGAGAGTCAAAGAAATACCAAAAAGTGTTGCAAGCTGCATGTTATTATGCCATGTGATGGTCGGAATAGTCCACCATTATGGAGGAATGATACCATACGGTAAACTCTCCAGATAATACGTCTCAAACTCATACGTATGTTTTTGTACTTTGCATTATTCATCTCAATCCAAAGAAACTAGAAAATCAATAGTGGAATAATGATGCGAATGTGCTCGGTCCTTGCAAACTGTCCAGAATACATCCCTCTCAGAAATCTCTATCTGACGGTCTTTCATGTACTCATGGTAATTTGAAATAAAGCTCCAAAATGTTTCCAAACATGATCTGTAATACTGCTACCAGTAAAAAGATTAGTGATGGTCTCAATCTTTGAACAACACTAACATCGAGAAGTCAACTGATTGCCAATCCTCCTCTGGATAATGACATCAGCTTGTATTAAGTCCTGCCATAATCTCCAACAGAAGAACGAAATGGTAGGAGGTATGATAGGGCTCCACAGTAGGCGAAATGAATCCTGCACTGGTATTAGAGCTTAATTGCAATCCTTGACCCAACTTTTTCAAGATGAGTCAATCACATTCTGTTGTAGGATCTTAGAATGATATGGATATTCATGAGGCTTATGACCAGCTAGCTGTATAAAGAGAGTATCAAGTTACATAAGGTTAATAGATCGGTTTTTAAGAAGCTGAATAAGCTTTAATTAGGAAAAAAAAAAAGAGACGTTGTAATTAAGCTTGAGGAGTCTACCAAATGATTGAATGAATTAAGAGTTGAGAAAGAGTCCTTAAAAAATAAGGTCAAAACTCTTATCAATGATTTTGAAAAATTAAATGCCCAACTTCTCATACTACTTCCTCTACTTAAAATAATAATTTTTCAATGATTTTAAAAAATTAAATTAATAACATGATAGGTCTAAACAAAATAGATGGGACTAGAAGAGATTTAGGAGATAATGAAACAAATTCTCATATTGTTTCCTCTACTTAAAATAAGTTTGTACCTATCTCAATCAAGCCTAAGGTACAAAATTTGAAATCTAGAGTTGCTCTTAGGTTCATCCTCATTTGTTAACACTGTGGAGAGTTAGGAAGCATAAAACCTAGGTGTCACGAACTGTTGAGTGTCAATAATAAGACAAAACATAGCATTCCTCAACATAAGGTTCAAAATTTGAAACCTAGATTAGCTCCTAAATTCATTCCCACTTGTCACAATTGTGGTGAATTAGGTGACATTAGACCTAAATGTGGTAAATCCTTAATGAAGAACTACAAACAATATCTAACTACTTATGTTAGATGCTTGACTAATCAAGTGAGTCACTTGACATAATTAATGACTCAATGACTAAGATTACATTTTCGTCTATGAAGATTTGGATAAAAAAGAGTGAACTCACATGTCAAAGTAATGTTATTAACTAAGGCATTGCTCGCGTTGCTCTTCATGGTAAGAGCACTTTTTTGCCTCATTGAGTAGGTTGTTAGGTGCATGCATTTGCTTTATTCATGATCACTACTTATTCATGCATGCACTCTAAAATTTTTACTTATTTTATTTGTTTTGCATTTTGCTTATTATTATTAAAAAAATTGAAAAAGATAAAAGGATTTTTAAAGTCATTGCACTTTTAAATAATATTTTTTTGGACATGTTAATTTGTGATCAAGTCCTAGGATAATTAATGAATAGTAAATAAAGTCTCCATTAACTTTATTTAGAACTTATTTCGAATACTTGGTATATGTTGTTATATGTATCATCTGTAACATAAACGTTAAGCTCTTGTTTTGACCATATGTGTAAGATTTGGGATGTTTATCACATGTGTGGTGGGTTGACTTTTAATATGAAATGACCTTAAAACTAGTTGGTCTAAGTTCTGCATATTCACCTTAAAAGAAAGATTATTATTGAGTTTCAAAGAAGAATATTTGAATTATATCAAATATTGTGAGACAATCTTATACTTTTCTTCGTAACCTATATGACTTGAGTGATTAATCCTGCAGGGTATCTTAATACATGGTGCCCTATAATTCATCTAAATTTGGATTCATCGACTTAAAACTTGTTACATGGGTCATGAAAAAGCTTAATGAAGAAAAGTATCTTTTCTTAGAAGAATTGTCTTCATCTGTGTCTTTTGTCCTTTCTGCATACCAAGAGTAAGAACAAATTCTACCACTTGGATCTAACTTTTCTACATTTACTGTAATTATTTATGTAAAAGTACATGTTTATAATCCTTGTACAGTTTTCTAGAAATGTGGAGAAAAAGAAAATGTTG